CCGGGTGCTGCGCCCCGGCCCCTCGCGGCTCTGGGGGCGTCGGCGCGTGGGCCCGTCGCGCAGGAAGCGCGTGGCGGGCTGGCGGTCGCCCGGGAGCCGGGCCTGGGACCCTGCACTGGAACCACGAGACCATCTCCCCCCGTGCTTTCTGACCCCGCGCTCTGAAGTGGTGCTTGCGGGTCTGCAATGCATCTAGGGTCAAGCGCACGCGCTCTCTTGATTGCAAAGCCTTCTACTATAAAAGCCTGTTGATTCCGTATGAAAATCCTTCCTCTTCCTCAGAACGGCAAAACCTGAATTTTTTTTTCCGTTTCGTTTTCATTTCCTGGACGTGCCCTGAGTTCCCGAGTCAGGCGAGCTCCGAGCATGCAGTAGGGCTGAGGAGATGGCATGGTTTGAGGTGACCAGGGGTTGACTCAGTGGGCAGCACAGCTGACTCACTGGGGACAGAGACCCTAGGAAGCCGCTGCGGTTCAGGGAGACGGCCCTGGGAAATGCCAGGGGAACAAGTCACTTTTAAAGCTCCCAGTAACTAGCCAGTCAATGGGGGAGTGCTGTTTTCTGTAACCCTGATGCCACTGCCGAAGACGTGGGGGGTTGCACAGATGGTTGTGCTGGTGGCTCGAGGGTCTCTCTTTCTGGGAGCTCTCACTGGTTTTAGTCCACGCCTTGTCCTAAAGCCTCTTTATGCATTTCTCATTTTGTTTCGAAATCCTCTGGCTATAAAACGATGACCACATTTGAGGAGGGTCCTGCCCTCTTGCCCGTTCCTGGTGACACGAGCTGGGTGCATGCAGTCGCTCCCAGGGAGGTGACGTTTCAAACTGGGGCCTGAGCCACAAAGTCCTGCGCTTACCATAGTAAGACGGGGGCACGAAAGAGGACTCGGTCGCCCGATCCTATCGACCCTGGCACAGCTCTAAGGACTTGCTCTTAGTCCGGAGCAACATCGTGCTTCATCTTCCTCCGCTGTTTTAGCTGAAGAGGCCTGATGTTTCAGATCGCTCCTATGTGTGGGTGCAGTTTCTATCTTTTTTTGTATGAGCTCAGCCTGGGGGAGAGAGACACGCGCACACTTTCGCACACGTGGGGGGGAAAGGAGGCAGGAGAGGAGATCGTGGAAGCAGAAACCAATAAATCATCCCTTCGTTCTGAGGAGCAGAACTATCTTCTCCGTGTGCCAAGAACCATATTAATTATTGATTAAAAATGAAGCCCAGCTCGCCAATGTGATGAGCAATCTCATATTTGCAGAAATGACATCAAGGGAGTTGGGCTGAGTGGGGAAGGGGGTGAGGGGGAGAGAGCTGGAGGGCTGGATGAGAAGATGACTCATGCTAAGAATGGCCTGCAAATACCCTGATTCCTCAGGGCTCGCGTTTAACTGTTCACCTGCTGCACACAGTTTGCCACAGATCGTGCCTTGCAAACGGGCACAGATTTGTCTCAAGTAGGAGCAGGAACAATGACAATGTCATAACTGGCTATTATAGCTAATATATGAATAGCGTACATCCTCTTTTCCCAGTGCCAGAGATGTCAGGGAGAATGATCCAAGCAAAGAAAGGTTCAGGTGTTTCAACCCTGCATGCTTTCTACCTGCTACCTACATACTTGGCTTTCTTAACGTCTTAAATCCCCTATATTTTTAACAGTTACTTTGCCTCCAGGCCTCTTGACTGGCACTGTTATGTTCACCTGGCAAGGTCTTGGAGTAGGTGGAAAGGCACAGGCTCCAATGTCACGGGGAGGAAACATTACCCTGCCACTGCCCCAGGTTAGGTTTTGGAGGGGGCAAGCAACACACCCTGACCTTCATGAGACCACAGGCTGTTCTAGACAGCCGAGGCAGCCAAGAGTTAAAATGACAGCATTACTCCCTGTAGCTTTAGCTAGGTAGCCCAGGAACAAAATCGCAGCGCAGGCACCTTTTTCCCGCAGCCTTCAAACCTTGAGTGCTTGCTTTTAGTTTTCAAACTAGTCCTTACTACCCTGCCTGGACATTGCTGCTTATAATTGCATTTGCAAACGCTCACAAGTAAGCCGCTCACAGCTCGATGTGGCCTTACAGATTTAAGGCCTGCACTCCCAAGTGTTGTTAAGCTTACTGCTTAGGGCTTCTTTTTGCAGTACAGGTTTTGTGTTTTGTTTCAGGTTTTTTGCTGCACGGATAGTTCACATCCACCCTGCAAGCATGTGCCTTGTACAGAGTACTCACGGCGGGGAAACGTGGCCATTTCATCAATGACAAGCATTGATGCAGAATGTAATAATGGGATTAATTCCATTTCATTAACAGAGTGGTGAACATAAATGCCATACTTAATTTTATTAAATAGCTCACATGGGGCTACTCAGTTATCAATGACTGTCCTGGGATTTCATTAAGTTTTAAAGCTGTTATTTAATGGATCGATTTCAGTTGAAACATTTTCATTAACTTGCAATCCTTTGTAGTTGCATAATTATTAATTGCCATGCAAACACCCCCTTCTGTGTTTGTCCTCATCTTAAAAAAAAAAAAAAAAAAATGCTCAGTGGTTTGTTGCAAAGAGTATTGGAATAACTGATGTATAGGGGATGGTTATTGTAAATAAGGGTCTCCTTTTTGCTGTTGAGTACTAGAAGACCTTCTATGAAGTGGGGAAAAATTTGGTCCTCACCCTACCAAAGTTAATGTTTTGCCAGATCCAATATAGTTACACTCCCAAACAGTTTTAATCTGCATCCATCAGCTTTGAGGAAGTTAATAATTATCAATGGTAACGCAGTTTTTGCTTTGAGAGCACAATGCCTTTTTCAACCAACGCTGTTCCTGAATGGCATGCTCTAAACCCGGCACAGTGCTGATACTGTATTATGCACTATCCTGTTTTATTAGACGCACTTGAGGCTCTGAGCCAACTTAATTAAGTAAATTTTCAGAAATGTGAAAATTTATCTTCCTTTTACTCTTTTTTTTCCCCCAGGGGGATATGAAACCTTTTACTCGCAATATCCTGAGTGCTGTGTGGACGTAAAACTCGTTTCCTCCGAGAGAAATGAAATGGAGAGAAACCTCAACAGCCACTGTGAGAAGCAGAGCGTCAACCACAAGCCGGCTTATGATCAGGTGCGTGTGTAAGGGAAGCTGTGAATAATTTCCCCCATATACACACGCATATACCCTTTCCAGGGGTTTCCTGTCAGCAGCCTCTTTGCAGTTGCGTATTCACCCTTTATTCCCCTCTGGTGGTGCAGTAAAGCCAGCTGAATGTGTGGGTCTGGGGTTTTTCCTGTTTGCCTGGGGTCTTAATTGTTGCATTGGGTTTAGAGCCAGCAAACACACTTAACAGAGCAAATTCGTTCAACACGACCTGACAAACTCAGTAGTGAAAGAGGGAGATGAAGAGCAGTGTTGGCTGCACGTCTGGGGTTAAGCTTCCCTGGCGGTATTACTGAGGGATTTAAAAAGGATTGCCCTGGAGAAGCCTCTCTGTTTTGGCTCTGTCTTTGTCCAAAAACTTAACAAATCCTGGAGAATTTAAGGTAGCTAGCTTGTGGGGCTCTTTGATTCCAGCTTCCAGTCACACATTCAAAATACACAGCCAAGTTTAGCTTGATGGGGCCTGTTAGGCGTGTTCCAAGATATAAGAAAACTTCCATTCCTCTTTTTTTTTAATAGCCTTTGTGGCATATTGGGACAATAAGACATGTATCGGCTTACTCTAGATCTGGTAAACTGTTCATTGCTCTAGAAGCATTGCCAGACCAGGGAGTCGTGGTGTTGCTTCAATTAAAGCCTCTTCAATAGACCACAGATGATGGAAGCAGCTGCTGTGAGTCCCCTTTGTCAAGTAGCTGCATACCCAGTACTATGCAAAAGGCCTTTATGCTAAAAAAGCCTCTTCTCCTCTGGATCAGCAGTCCTTGTGTCGGGCCAAGAGTCTTTCTGAGCACTCTTGGCAAGTATCCTGCACTGCTGCCCTCCAAACAAAGCCCGAAGAGGAAAAAAGCCTGGTTTTCCCAAGCGCTAACCGAGTTTTCATTTTCTTATTACGCTCACGGTCAGCTAAAGAGGGACTTTCTTTTCAGTGTGTGAGCAACAAAGTCACTCTGGCAGAATTTTTTTTTTTTAAATCAAGGGGAGGGGACTGTGCTAGCCAGAGCTATTACCTGCCTCAGGGCTATGCATCTCTCTGTCTTAGACCTCTGATGCTTTCAAGTCCCTAATGACCCGTGCTGTACACCGCTTGTGAAATGCCCCCCTAGATACACGTTCAGCTGATCAGGCACAAAGCCGAGTGCTTTGCGGCCCCTGAACGGTCCAGCTGAAGTCGGCGGGCCTCTCCCATGAGTCGGGCCGGATGCCTGGCTTGTGAGAAGGCTGTATTGTTTCTATGCGAGGGGGGAAAGGCAGGGTACTTCCTCTTTGTGGGATTTCCACTGGGGAAATCCTCGCTACCCACAAACACGCCCAGGGGAACACTTCTGCTTTGAAATGTCAGCCCAAGGTCAAGATGGCTTCCTCCAGGGACGTTCTGCTTCCTGCAACCGAAGCGCGGTCTTATCCTGAGCGCGAGGAGGATGCTCGATTCCCATGCTGCGGGAGACGGGCTTTATTTTAGTAAAGCACCCAGCTTCCAGTGGCTTTCCCTGCACCTGCTACATAATAGCACTTGTGGCCAGCTGGAAAGAGGGGGGGTCCAGACTGCTGCGCCTTTCAACCTGGCCGTTGTCCCCTGAGCTCCCCAGGGGCAAGTCCCCCGCAAAACCCGAGGAAACCGAGCTCCTCGGCGAGCCTGGGCTCTTTCTGTCAGTTGAGTCTCTCTTCCTGTGGCAGAAAAAAGGAACCGAGATTACATCTGCGAGGGAGGGAGCCGTAGGTGGCCCCCAGCGGCAGGTGTGCGTGTGCCGAGTGTCGCGCCTCCACATTGCTGCGTCACAGGCAGGCAGGAAACGGAGGCCGCGCTGAGGCTGGGGGAGTCTGAGCAAACAGACGCCAGCTGTCGTGGCACGGGCCTGGCCGAGGGGGGGATGAAAACCCGTCTGCCTTTTAAGCCCAGTTCTGTCTTCAGGTTTCTTTGTCGCCAGGACGTAGGCAGGGGACGGGGGGGTGCACTTCAGACCCGGTAACGTGAGGTTTCTCGCTAACGGCACGTCATGTTGAGTTTCCCACCACTTGTACTCGGAGTACTACCAGGCTTTCTCCGTGCCCCTGTTGTGATTGCGCCCCCCCTTTTTTTTCCTTTCATCAAAACGCCAGGGAGCCCAGCTTGACATACGAAAGCACTTCGGGTGGGTTCTTAGGGGAAGGACTTTAAAGAGAGCAGGAAACATTGTGCACACGAGTGGGCTGGATCGGATTTCATACCTCACAGATGTGGGCAAGAAAATGAAACCCTTCTTCTGTGTGGGCTCTGCCGTTACAATGATTCACTGGCCAGTAATACCAGGATCTAAAACTGTCAGCCGGGGACTTGGCACCCACGCTGGCTCTGCTGCCGAGCGTCTCTTTTCATCGAGTTGGCTGTAACTTAAGACGAAACTTCATGTTAAAAAAAGAGAAAAAAAATAGTTCATGTCTATATCTCTTGTTCCTTGGTTTCCAGGGTGGTCCGGTGGAAATCCTGCCTTTCCTTTACCTTGGCAGTGCCTACCATGCTTCCAAGTGTGAGTTCCTAGCCAACCTGCGCATCACAGCCTTGCTCAATGTCTCCAGGAAGAGTTCAGAGTCCTTTAAAGACCAGTATTGCTATAAGTGGATCCCAGTAGAGGACAGCCACACAGCGGACATCAGCTCTCACTTCCAGGAAGCCATAGATTTCATCGGTAGGTATGGTTATTCTATGGTGCCATTTAAAAAAAAAAAAAAAAAAAAAAATGACATAATAAAAAAAATTTAAAATGGTTCATGTTTAAAAAAACCAC